AGAAAGAAAAAAATGAAAAAATATTGAGGAAAAACAATTGTAAAAGAAGAAAAAGTGGATAAAGAAGTATCAGAAGAGGAATTTGTATCAACTGACAATGTAGAAATAGGAAATCAAAAAGACATCTACTCAAATCTTGGAAAAATACTTTGGCCAACACAATATAAGTAAAAGATTCACACTGCTCAACTTCCTTAACACACAACTCAACACTTGAGATGAGAAAATTAATAACAACATTCACACTCTTAAGGGAATAGATAAATTCCTCAACAATAACGGTAAAACAAAGACTTTCAATGACACTTATAAATAGGGACATACATTTAATCTGAAACTCTAGCCAAAGTGACTCAACCTTTGGAACAAAAGAAAACTCAGCACTAGAATTGATTAAAGACGTTGCCAATGAAACAAAAGCAAGATTTTCAATTTCATGCACACACTCAACATCTAAATTAATATGAGGAAGATAAAAAACATTCAACTCAACACTGGATTGAGAATAAGAATCATAAGAGTCATAAATGATCAATGTGCCAAGAGAAGAAAACACTATAGATGAGGAAGAAATACTAAAAACATGAAAAGGTGGTTCAAACTAAGAAATAAAAAAAAGTTAAGAAAGAATAAAAGGTAAAAAGAAAGGATCAAATGGCAAATTGAAGGATTAACACTTACCCTGTGAAATTTCCAACTCATCTTCAAAGTTATCTTTATAATAATTAAACTCTTCATCACAATCCAGAATCCATTCAAATTCATAAACATCGTCTTCCCATAAACTTGATCCTTAAACATTCTCCAAAAACCAGACTATATTATCTATAACTTCAGAAGTTAGAAACGGCAATGCAGCATCAATATAATCACACCTCACAGCACTAAAAGTTCAATCTAATAAAATAGCATTAACAGCTTTAAGTGATATACTTTTTAATTGATGACGGTATAGTATGGTAGAAGAAGAGGACGTAATGAAGATCCAAAAAAAGGATAGATCTAAATACAATGATAGTTAAAGTTCTAAATCTTGCAAAAAATTAATACAAATTTAGATCTAAAAGAAAATGAAAAAATAAAAACAAAAAGCATGATCCCAAACATTAAAACCAAATTGCAATGCCCTTCACCTCCACTAATGTGAGTGCTCAAAATATAAGAATAGTTATATTAATTGGGGTTTAAACCTTTGCTTATATACAAAAATGAATGGACCAAATTCAATCCCAAATGAACAATCCATATGCTATAGTACTATAGTTAAGATATTATCTAGCCATGGTAATACATACACGTACTTTACAAATTGTAATTATGTTTTATTAGAAAATTTTAGTGTTCAAGGCTGAATAAGCACTGAACAAGCAATTGCTTTAGATCATCCACATTTCAAATTGTAGTCTTGAGATATCACTCTTTGAGCCAAGCTTGATTGCCTGGGGCAGGAGGGTCAGCCACACCAAGTGCGGCTGGGATCGTAGACATGGGAGGGTCGGCCATGCCAAGTGCGGCTGCGATCATCGACGTGACCGCGGCAATCCAGCCTTGACCTGAAAATCGTTGACTCCTTCACAAAAACATGATCACGGACTGCTTCTCCCATTTTATGTCGCTCTTGCCATTTTCCTGACTCGTCGGGTTGCTTTAATCATATCTCTCATGGACAGTTGTATATAATAAAGAAAGCTAACCCTGCACCGAGATCTGTCTTTTCTTCCTGCTTCCTTCAATCTACGGGTTGTTAGGCATGCATGCAGACCGACTGGAGATTGTCTCTACGGTTGAAGCCTGGAGATTGAGGCGGCGCACGCTTGTTGGAAGAATTGCAGATCGCCACGTTGAAGAGGAAGTATTTCCCATAATATGCCAGATTTTTGCCCATATTTGCAACAGGAAACAGAATGGCAATGGCGCAGCTCAACAAGGCGCTGTGGTGCGACCGGGAGATCTTCGCCACCGGAGGTGAGATTGACGTAGCAAAGTTTCGGATGCCAGCATCGCTGCATGTGGAGGGTGCCGAGAGGATCAGTCTTCCACTTTCGCCGCTAGGTCTCGCCAAGATAAAGTCCGTGTCCCAGCAAGCTCCATACGGCCTTGGGGAGAGAACTCTCGTCGACACAGATGTGAGGCGAGCTTGGCAGATCAATCCCGACAGGGTCTCTTGCCCCGAGGTTCCAAACTTCTTCTCGACGGTGCCTCGCGACTTGGCCGCCCATGGACTCGCCGCCATGGGGCTGGATTCCACTGCTCTGGAGCTCGACGTCAAGCTCTACAAGCTGCTGCTCTACGAGGCTGGTGGCCACTTCAAGTTCCACAGGGACACGGAGAAGGAAGATGGCATGTTTGCGACCATGATCTTGCAACTTCCGACGAGCACCGGACACAGCGGCGGGGCTCTCGCCGTCCGCCAGGGACGGCAGGGCTGCGAGTTTGATTTCTCGGACGGGAGCTCCAGCCACTACTTCTCGACGATCTTCTTTTGTGACTGTGAGCACCTCCTCAAGGAGGTGACGAGCGGGTTGAGGTTGTGCCTGGTTTTTAGCCTGGTGAGGAACAACGTGGAGTTTATACCCGCGGAGAACGTCCCGTCGTTCGTCTCGGCTCTTCCCCGAGTGAGAGCTCTCTTCCAGCAATGGGCTGCTGACACTGGTGATGATCAAGCAGATCAAGCAGAAGGTAATGATAACGAAGCAGAAGGTGATGATATAGAAGACGATGACATGAGAGACGATGATGACGAAGAGGATGATGATGACGAAGACCATAGCGATGATGATGGTGTTCGTGTTCAAGACGTCAGCAATAGTGACAGGAAGGGTCGTAAGCTACTGGCGGTTCCTTTGGCTCACAAGTACTCAAAGGCGAGCCTGTCTTTCGCGGGGCTCAAGGGTCACGACCGCGTGGTGGCCGCTCTCGTGAGAGCTTGCGAGTTTCTAGAGCTTCATCTCTGCATGCTCACCAAGCACAAGACCGTGGCGGACGAGCCCGAGGTCGAGTACGTGATTCACAATTGGATCACGGTGGACGACCAGCCAGCAAAGTTTAAGAAGTGGAACATAGACATCAAGCAAGAAATTCTCAGGGCCTCTCGGACAAAGACCGCTATCGATGCTGATTATGACGACGAAGACGCTGACGCGATTCGCGAGATTGACTTGTTTGATTTCCTCGAGGACGAGTTCCAAGGAACCGGGATGATGGCTGGCAACGAAGGTGGAACTGATCAGTACTTCTATCACGTAGCAGTGCTCGTGGTTTGGCCCAAGGACAGCTTCATGAGAACGATCTGCTCGTCGTTGGAGGACGTAGCGTGGGTGCTGGACTGGATGAGAGAAACTTATGGCGGTGACTTTGCAGCTCCTGGATCACCGTCGAGGGGACACTTGCAAGAGATGGTCACGTCTTTGACACACCGGTTTGATTCGCTTGCTTCGCTTCTCCAAGCGAGCTATTCAATTTACAACTCTGAGGAGAGACAAAAGGTCCTCCAAGCTCCGGGAAAGCTGCTCGAAGTTTGCGTCAAGTCTGGGCTTAGCGACGAGGCGCTGTCGATCATGAGGAGCTGGGGTGTGGAGCTGATAGACACCAAGGAATTCGCCATTACCGTGCAAGCTTACGGCTGGGAGGCTTGCAAGGAGATCGTTACCGGAGTCATAGAGCGCGTTGCCGGTGAAGCTGCGATGAAGCTGGGAGGTTTTCCTTCGCGGCTGCGGGATGGGGTCGGGTATCAGGACGGAGCCATTGTAGCTGCAAAGCTGCTGTGTGCCAAGCTCATGGCGAACTTGACCGGGATCGAGGTCCAGGGTGGTATGAAATGGAAAAGAGATGGGATCATGCTCTTGATCGAGTTTTGCCTCGAAGCTGGGCTCCAGGAGGAGGCCTCGCAGATCCTCGGCAAGCTAACTCTCCAGAGGCTGTGCGGCGGAACGCTGGCCAAAGTGATGCATTTTTTTCCGAGCCGCACCGGCGAAGTGGAGAGAACATGGGACGAAAGGAAGAAGGTGGCGGAGGATAGAAAGCTGGAGGAAGAGGAAGCGAAAGCGAAAGTGGAAAAGGCAAACCGTGGTTATGGCTATGCCGGGTCCGGTTTGAAGAAAGGCAAGAGCTCGGAAGAGCTGTGTGAGGCGTACGTGGGCGACATGGTGGAGTTTATGCTGGAGCTAGAATCGCTGGGACGCCTCGATGAAGCGCTGGGTTTTGCTGCCAGGCCTTTTCCTTGCGACTATGCTGCACGGAAGTTCACGGATCCGGGAAGGGGCAGTCTGGAAGAGCACTGGATTGTGGTTGCGCTGCTGCTAAAGCCCGAGGTCTTGCTGGCCAAGTCGGGCGAGCACAACGATTGTGTTGCGATCAAGACGATTCGAAAGGCCGCGGGCTTGGTTGACTTGAAGAACAACGAGGCGGCCAAAACGGTGGTAGTCAAGCTTTGCAAGGACGAGGTGGTGACCGCGGCCGATCTAGCGGAGACGAGTTCCTGGATTGAATACCACGGTGCCACCTCCAGCGGCATACAGAAGGATCGATCGTATTTAAGCCAGGAGGAGAAGGTGTACAAGACTTGGGAGAAGCAGAAGAAGTTCTTCGAGTTCTTGCTATGGCTGGAGGACGAGGAGCTGCTGGAAGCGATGGTGGAGTGCGTGAGTAAGAGGGCGAATCTTTTGAGGAGGATGCTGGAGAGGGAGGAGGGGCTCGTGAACGAGGCCGTGAAGCTTGGCGATGGCGTGAAGAGGGCGATGAAGAAGCTTGTGGAGGTGAGGATGGAGTATGTGTCGAGGGAGCCGAGCTTGGGCGACGTGGTGGAGAGCTTGACGCCGGCGTCCAAGAGGCTCAAGCTCTGCGGCCAAGTCGATGTTCGCCAGGCGATTGACAATCCTCGGCAGCAGCGGCGAGTTTACGAGATGGTGGTGGAGAATTGGAAGGGCGATAGTGCCGCGAGATCGATCGAGATGGAGAAGCTTCAAGCGCTCCACCAAATGCTTTGACGATCTGGTTCTTCCTTTTGCTCTATTCTCTTTCCTAAAATTTTCGTAAAATATACATCATTTCAAGTCAAACAAACAAGTCTCTAGCCTTTGACAAAGAGTTTGGATCTTTGACGTGAATATCTAGAGCAAACCCAGCCAGCCATCGATCTCACAGCGGCACGCCGCGGGCTCACCAATGAGCGGCCGTCCAGCGTGAAACTCGACAATCAACTTGGCGAAGTTCCCAAGATCGTAGAGCAAGTAATGGAAGTACGCCAGCCGGTGCATCCCTCTCTGCCTCATGAATGCCGTCCCGCCATGTCCACCCTCGCAGGCCAGGCAAGTGCTCTTCCCACCCATCGAGAACTTGAGCTGGTTTCGGCCCGCCACGTATCCTGGAGCCGGCCACGCTTCGTTGTCCTCGCTGAAATCCATGTCCTCCTGGAAACCAAGTTGAGAAAGAGAATATAGAAAGAATGAAACAAGGAGAGGATCTCGAGCGAAGTACCTGGCCCTGGAGGATGATGCGTTGGAACTCACGGACAGTCTCCCTAGTGACATACGTCTCGTAAAACACTGTCTTCTCGTCACCTTTGCACGGCCTCGAGGTGTAGCGAGCCGCGGCACGAAACCTCCCGTCGGAGCGCACTGCATACTCGAGCAGATAGTGGCCGCGTTCCCTCTTGACGCTGAACGAGAAGCCATCATCGCCATCTTCTTCAAGTTCTTCTTCTTTCTTTTCTCCAGGCTCCGGGGGATTTGCCTGGCACAGCCATCCGGCACGGATCTGCTTGCCCTCCACGGTCGACCCATCAAGCTGAGTAATGGTTTTGCGAGCCTGTGTGTCGTCGTCGCACTTGATGATCCCGTAGCCAACGTTGAGGCCCGTGGACATTGTGGTCGCTATCTCGATCTGGTCGGGTGTCAAGCCGTCAAAGCAGCCCGCATAGTCCTCGGGAAGTCCAGTCACCAGGACCAATCCCCCAGTTCCTGCGTGACAAACGAGCATAGTATTTGATTCCAAGAAAAGGATGGGCCTTACCGGATGAGCAGTGAAAGTCCTCGTCTTGTAAGAGCAAGCTCCACTGCTCGACGACATGATTCACGTCCTTTGGAAGCCTCCTTATTCTCGCAAGCAGCCTCTCCATGCCCCAAAACCTAGGCCCGCAGCCGTCGGATTTATAAACTCTCAACCGTCCAAAAGGTATAACGACGAAAAAATTATGTACAGCCCCAAGACTCTGTCAAAAGGAAACAAACGTAAGAAAGGAAAACAAACACAGAACTCTTCACCTGATTTACGATGTTGCAGTATTTATGTTGATGTCCTCAAGTCCCCCTAACTTGATGCTGGAGGGTGAAACAAGCCATTTGAGAAGTGAAAAGTAAGTTCAGATACCTGAGGCGTGCACAGGATATCGACACAAGGGACAGCTGAGCTTCGGCCACTGAGGTGGTGACTCCCCATTGAAGTCAGCATCTAATGCATGCATCGACTCCTGACGCATCCAAGACATGAAACAGGATGTGTGTCCGTGATGATTACAAGGCAGCACCGTCACCAATTCTCCTGGAGCACCAAACTTGTTGCACATACAGCAGTACATTTGTAGTACGTTGTCTCGCTGTTCTGCCGGCTCAAGAGGCGCTGTATGCTGTAACAAAATATAACTATTATTCACGATTCGTTTCAAAAAGAGTGCATACCTGCTGTTCCAGAGCTCTAAAAGCTGACAGAACCAATTCAGCCTGTTCGATAATTCTCGAAAAGTTATTGCAGAAGAGTCTTGGAATAGACTCGGTTGGTGCTTCTGCCAGCATTAGAGTTTCAACTTTGCGACCATAGGCATCAGACATATGTCGTATGGCTCTGTTAAAAGGAAAAAAACCTCATTAAAATGCTGTGTCAATGATGAGTTACCTGTTTATAAGAGCACAAGCTGGTTCAAAGGTCGCGACAATCAAAATATTAGGAACGTCACCCCAACCGCTAAACATGATCTCTTTTCGTCTTGTGAGATATTCCTTCCTAACCGCAAAGCGGTTTGCTTGAGTATAGAGTCTTATGAAATTGGTAACAGCCTGGGTTGAGAGCTTTAGCACCCCTAAAGAACAAAATTGTGAACACATTAGTTTTCAAGAACTCTGTACTTACTTGGACGAGCCATATGGGCGCACATCAAGTGCAAGAGATCCAATGGTTTCACCAGGGAGCCAGGACGGTATGGTAGATATGTACTCTCCAACTGAGACATCGTGCTCCATTGCTGCTGTTTCCAAGTTTCTATCAGCATCCTCTCTGGCGTTTCTTCATGACTAAGACTTATCAGCATACGATTGACACGATCTGGGAGTGGCAAAAGTAGTTTTGTCACCACTCTTGGTGAGTTTTCTGCAAAAACTTTGCAGCCTTTTAGAAAATCACAATTATTCACATAGCAGCCTACCTGCTGTGAGGACGACGATAGTTTTGCCTTGTAAGATGTGAAGACTCTTTGGTGCCAGACAGAGTGCACAAGGAGCTGTGTGATCACTTACAAAACTCGTGTTGTCACCAGGTAACACTCCGAAAAACTGTAGCTGCTGTAGAAGAACCTCAACTACAAGTGAGCCCGTTGATAGTAAGCTTATCACGCCAGTATCGATGTCCGGTAAATTCTTCATTAGCACGTGCTGTGTTTCAGGCGCTGAAGAAAACTCGAACGGAAGCTCGCAAGAAAACACGAGATAGTCATGAAACAAGCCATGACAAGAAATTCTTGCTGCACCCAATTTGTAATCAAGGAAAAGACCTCGGTACAAAGTCACGTTACCAGGGAATAAGTATCAAAAAGACATACCATTCAAAGAAGTGAGAGGCAAAAAGACGTTTGCATTCTGTCGTAGCATCTCCCGATATTCTAGATTGGTCTGGCCGTGTATAATCGCTGAAAATACCTGCAGGGCGAGCAACTTCTTTTAGAACTGTAGTTCCAAATTGTGAGAGAAAAAGTGTTTATACCACTCAAGGAAGTGCGGGCGAGGTAGATGTTTGCATGCTGTTGCAGCAAGTCCGGATATTTTTGATTGATCTGGCCGGGAAAATCACTTCTCAACTCCCAAGTGTCTAAGACTAAATATGAGAAAGAACAAAGATAAATCAGTCGAGAAGAAAAGCTTTTGGGTGTCTACTCACTGCATGGCGGCTCTCGGTAGCGCTCCGTTAAACTCCATCCCATTTGCGGTGCCAGCAAGTTCCTCGAGCCCTTCAAAACCACGATAAAAAAAGACCGTCAAGAGGACATAGCAACTACTACTCTATCGCTCCTAGATCCAGACTCCTACTCATAATGCTCTCTGTTCTTCCAAAAGATTCAGCTTACTTGGGATGCTAGATGACGGTGTAAGAATTTGTAGATTGTCCACTCCGGAGCAAAGCCAGTTTCCGAAACAGCGCGTTCCTTTCCAGCATAAAATGAGTCACAGAATACTACACACCATCATCTTACCTGATGGAGTCTGTAGTAGAAGCGATCGACTTTCAGGCTGTCGATGAGAGCAGCGTCGCAAGGTTCGGCACATCCAAAGTGCGATTCTTTCCAGCAAGAAAGTGGATTGCTAAGAAGAACACGAGAAAAGCTGTACCTCGGAGCGTTCCCTGTAGAAGGGCCATGGATCCCAGGACACGATCTTCAAGATTTCCGCGATGCCATTTGATTTCGGATCCAATGGAGCCTCCTATCCAGAGAAAGATGGAGACACGCGAAGAAACGGAGAAATATGGAGAAGGGGCAAGATTTCGGGAGATTTCACCTCAGAATCTCGACGAGGCCTGTACAAGAAGCGATCGCCGAGCGCTGCATTGCCGATCCCGAGCATTGTATTGCCGATTTCCGGATCATTCGGATCATCCGCAGCGGGCGCGCTCTCCTCCATTCCCTCCTCCCCCATTTCAAACTAAAACCCTAACCCCCGGGGTATATTAAATGCCTTTATCTTTTGATGGCTTAGGTTAGGTTAAAGAGCAAAATTAAAGGTCACGAAATAATTACAACAAAAGCTTCTTCCATTGAGAGTTATCGATCGAGTTTCTCTACAATCGATCGAGCAAGCACGCCGGAGGAGGCGAGAAATACGCTACACGCCTCTGGTGGAGCGGCATGAGCGGGATCCTAGGCGGCTTGTCCTCCTTTCTCACGCTCGAATCCTCCGACTGATCCAACACCCCGGGGCCTCTCGTGTAGACAACCGCGATGGCCGACGCAAACGCTTGCAAGTAGCTCACCGGAGCCTGGAAGGAGATCGGGAACAATCCATCGCTGATCGCTCCCAAGCGCAGCGAGGGAGATTGGCTTTTGTTCTTCCCCTGGAAAAAAAACTTAAAACTCCGATCAGCCAAGGAATAGAAGATAACTTCTCTTACCTGCAAAGAGATGTTGATGAGCTCTTTCGATCTTTGGAGCTCCTGCTGGCCTTCCAGGATCGTTAGACCGCAGCCGAGATCCCAGCTTCCACAGTCGCATCGCCCTCCAGAGCGCCACCGATCCATCAAAGGTTGAGGACCGCCACTTCCTCGTACTGGTAGCCCGTGGTTTCCAGCCGGGAGAACTACCGTCACGGTGGAGGCCGGAGCTTCTTCTCTCCCAAAGTCGGCCTTCACTCCCATCAGTTCTCTGAGCTTAAAGCTGTGCGTCCTGGCCTTGTTGTCGCCCTGGTTTTCTTTCGTCTCGGTCGCCACCTGCAGTGGCAATCGTCCCGGAAGGCTGAATCTCCGGCCATTAGAGCCCTTCCTGGACGAGTTCCTGAGTGCCTTCGAGCTCCATTTCTTGTTTAGAGCCTCCCAGACGGACTGTGCGCTGCTCACACCGGCGGACGATCGGATCACGATGGCGGCAAACTCTGGCGATGACTGGATCTTCACCTCCGCGGCCTCCACTTCGCTGTCACTCCACGAGCTTCGATCGTCGTCCGACTTTGGCCTCAGCGGACTGGAGCTTAGAGACTTCTTTGAGCGCCGGAGACGATCTCGCTTCGAAAACCGAGGCGAAACCAAGCTCGTAGGGACCATGCTCATCGCGACGTAGCGCGAGGAGGTCGCGTTTGCTAGCCGCACCGGAGAAGGGCTAGCCGCAGAAAAAGGTGACGGAAAGCTATACGGTGACTTGCAGCTCGACTGTGGCGATGTTCCAGTCTCCCAAGTCGAGAAGCTCAGCCTTGGGCTACATGCTCCATTTCCATCCGAAAGAACGAATTCCAGCTCCATGGTGTCGTCTTCATCCTTGCTTTCTGCTGGCACAACTTTGCTGCTGAAGGTCATGCTTCCAACAAGCTCTGGATCGGTCCTGTCTCTTCTCACCCAGTTCTTCCAGTGTCTTCTCGATCTTCCCTTCGGCTTCCAGGAGTAGAACGTGTATACCAGCTCCCCGGTCTCTAGGCCGTCAAGAGGACAGGATTTCACCGCTTTCGCAACAAGGATTTCTTCAAGACCGTCGACGGAGAATGTGAAACTCGGGGTGTCGTTCCGGACCACACAGTGAACATGACCATGGACAGTCCGCGATGGAACTACCATAGACATGCTCACGCTGGCCAGCTGCGCATTCTCTTCTCTTGACGTTGTTTTGCCGAATGACAGACGAGGAGAAGGCAGGCAGCGAGTTTTACCCCCGTGAACGCTGTCCTCGGAAGCGAAGTAGAGTGGACCCTTATATTCCTCCAAAAACGTCCCATCCTCCGGCACCACTGTCTTTGCCATCCCGAGACACCCCAAAGCTTTTGCTTCCATACCTCGAACTCGTCTGGGAGATGTCCCATACAGGCTTGTTTTGCCACTTGTCGAAGCAGATAACTCAGCACCAGCGCCTGTTTTCATCTTGAATTGTTCCCCACCTGTCTTCGCAAAAGACAAGCGATTGTTTCTCGGTTGACTGCTTGCAGGGTTTCGTCTCACACCCCCTGGAGAACTATGGTACCCGGACTTCTCTTCTTGCGTCTCAAAGGCTCTTGAAGGCGTAGCCACGGAGTTTCGTTCTGACAGAGGAGAAGGATGGCCGATAGAAAGCCGCGACTTGAACTTGTCATACGAACTTCTCCGAAAAGTCGGTCCGGGGCTCAACGGCAGATGCTTGGTAAGAACAGACCCCAAGCTCTTGGCAAGTTTCTTCCTTCGTGACGAGCGTATCCGCAACTCGCCGCCGCCATCGCCTGCTTGATCGAAGCAAGGATTAATGCAGCTGTGAATGTTCTTGGAGCAGTAACGCGTGCGATCTGTCCAAACTGGAAACGTTTCGTAGGCGTCATCTTGCAGAGAAACGGCTGCCTTGGGCGAGTCTGCTGCAGGAGTTTGTTTGTTCGTTGCCAGTTGCCTGTTGCCTGCGATCCTGACACTATCATCACCTTCGTCCCCCACCAAATTTCCCTCCACGAAAGAAAATTCGAAATAAGAGCTGTTGTCCCTGGAACTCGTTCCGGCAAGTTTCGATCCTGGCAAGAACTCAATGCTGGAGGTGACGGACAAGCTAACAATTGGTGAAACCTCCTCCTTGACGAAAGAGCTTGCGTCACTTCTGGATGAAAACGAAGAGCAATCAACCGTTGAAAACAGTGACGACGTCTCGCTGTTCGATGGCGAGTGGAATGCAGCGACTGGAAGCGTACTCTTGGGTGAAATTTCTTTGTCATACGTGTTTGACGGGCCCTCACCCACATAACTCTCGAGATTCTTCGCTATCTCTTCCCGAACGAGCTCCGACTGTGTGGACACCATAGCCGACATTTGTACAGACCTGATAAGTCACCATGGCAGAGAGAGATAGTATCCTATATTGTAAGAACTCGATCACTTACTGGCAAGAAAAAAACGATTTGATCTCTCCGCTGTCGCGTTTTTATGGAATGGAAACAGTGGTCAACTATAACGTGTTCCTTCCTGTGATCCACTTAGAAACTTTGATACGCGATTGTCCTGACACTGTTATGAAACAGAAAAGGGAATTGTTAGGAGCTACCAAAAGATTTTAAAAACCACTCACCGTCTCAGAAGCCCAGAGCTCTCACTCTTGACTCCCGTGAAGATCACGTTTTCTTCCCTGATGCATGCAAGGACTCTGTCCTCTCCAGCTTCTACTAGACCAAACCTGGCGATCGCAAGAGCATTCCAAAACATTCGCCCCAAACACCTCTGCTGGATTCTACTTTCGTCGCTGCTCGATCAAGTGGAATAGAAAGGGAGCGAGCTCTTGCCACTTCGTTGGAAGACTAAATCCAAGCTGCAGAGACGCAGATGAAGTGCAAGGCGATCGATCATAACAAAAGCTCAAAGAAATTTCTGGGCCTGGCAACTCACATTGATTCGCGACTGGGATAGATATTACGGAGCTCTCTGCCGGCTCCCTGGCAAACCTGATGAAAAAGAGTGGCCGTGATTTTGCAACGATCTCCTCCAGAGCTGCGCGACGGATGCATTAAATGTCTCATGAGACAACAAAAGATCATCCAGCGAAGAATCAGAGGAGCAAGAGAGAAGAGCGCTCCAATCGACCGATGCTGTCGAGGAAATTTGGCATCAAGAACAAGACGGTGCTAGTAGCGCTGCCACATTTCCCATGGCGGATTGCGTCTCTTCCACCATAGCCGCTGTAAATGCGCTCCCATACGAGGACAAAGAGAAATAAAACCTTTCTTGAGGCCTTCTTGAGCCATATGGCATAGATTGCCAGAAAAGTCGTACGCTAAAGTACGGCAAATTTCAAACAGCGACTTATATTTTCTAGAGAATTTACTATGGGTCGCTGCTAAACGAACTAGCGTGACCAGATTTTCTACCGAGCGAAAGCCTACCTAGCGGCCAGTAAGTAGGCTTGCTAAATTTTAACCAAGGGTAAAACCTGACAGTGATGCCGCGTGCATGGGAATAGTAAAGGTGGTGAAAACGAAGTGCATCGTGTGGCGCCAAGTGTCCGGCGAGATTCGCTCACACGGTGGTAAGGAAATTCGAATTTGGTGACAATGGGTCAAAGAACAATTAATACAAATTCTATCATACCATGTTGCTATGATCGGAGAAACATTGTGGAATGAATCTTCCACTATTCCTCCTAACAAACACAAGTCAATGCAAACATCTATTTTGTTAGTTTGCGCCAAATTTAACTGGCCACTATCAGCGCACTAACGCAACCTCACATCACAATCCACAAGAGTCCATACTTTCAGTATCCGAGAGAAAAGAAGAGAATATATCAATAGAATAATCATCCCTCCCAAAACGACGTCTTCCCTCCCATTCCTTAAAGCACGCCTTTTGGTTTTGAATTTCAAACTTTTGCATGGCGCGCGCGCCGTGGCGGCCGTACAGCGACAAAACCAAAGCGCGAATATCCTCTGCCATGCTCCCAAAATTTCAAGGAAAGTTTTAAACTCCGCATGAACGAACAAAGGTGGCGGCGTGTGTGAGTGGATTTCTCCAAAAAGCACGCGAGGTTTTGGACGGACAATAGGTAATTCAAACTGGACAATAGGAAAAAGCCATCTTCCATAGAGCAAATAGCTCGAAAAACTCTCCATGAACGAACAAAGTGTCCACGAAAATCCAGTCTCTGTGAGTGTTTGATTGAGAGCTACGCGCGCGGAGGATAGCCTGGAGGAGGATACCCAGTGGGAGGATAGCCCGCCGGGTATGGCTGGCCGTAAGCTTGCGTCGGCGCTGGAGGGAAGTAGCCAGCGGATGGAGGAACTGGCTGATCGATCCGGGACATCATCTGGAATCCTGGAGCTTGCATTGGGCGCTCGACGGGGCCGAATTTTCCGTCCCACTTGTCCATCTCGACTTTGTGCTGTGTCTGTGGAAGAACAAAACAAAATATACAAAAGAACTTGTCAACCATTGTCACGGGCTCGGTTGGAAGTTTTGTGCGTCTTACCTGCATACACGCGCACACCCTGCAAGAACAAAAGAAAAGAAGAAAAAGAAAAAGAACCCGTGATGAGATTGGAAGAAAAGACCAAAAGGAGTGCTCGGAAGAACTTACGTGCAGTAGACGCCGTCCGAGATGCAGTAGAGGATATTGGCAGCCTCGTAGAGATCCTCGCTGCCAGCGATGGCCGCAACCAGCGAGAAGATGCACGAAAGCTGCTGCAAGCAAAACATAAACCCCTGCGATCCAGAAAGGCAATCGTAAGTTCCATGAAGAACGAAACATATGATGTCAAGACTCCATACGATGATGAAGTTGTCACATTTCGTGTTCTGGAGGTTATACTCGTCCTGTAGCAAGTAGCGTGTGGACTGGACGGAGTTTGGGAAGAACAGCATCACCTGATACAAGTTTTTGCGTTTTTGGTTTTTAGAAACAACAAGGATCATAAGTCTGGGTGAAATTCTTGACTACCTCAGCGCAGAGACAAAGTTCCGGACAGCTTTGCTCGCCGCAGCTGCCACTGCAAGGCATATATCCAGCGCAGCATACGTATCTACAGTGATCAAAAGGGAGAAAAAATAGTTTAGAAAAAAAATTTCATAGAAAAGAGAAACCACGAGGAAAAAGAACGATCGTGCCTGGACATGTCGTTGTGAAGGGCCCGCTTTCTCAAGAGATAAGAAGCACACGGTGCACTGTAGAGAAGATCAAAGAAACAAAAAAAAAGGGATCGATCCAAGAATCGAGGAAGAGAGATCTTTATAAATCTCACCAGAAGGCGGCAAAGCAGCAAACTGGAAGCGAAATAACGGCCAAATATCAGCGAAGAACCAGCATTTGCGAGTAGAAAAGAGCGAAGCGAGAAAGAATCGATCGAAAAACTTACATGGACAATCGTTGAGAGTGGAATGCGTGAGATCGGTGTGCCAGAGGTTGCGGTAGGTGTTCCGCACCTCCATCTTATCGATGAGCGATTGCCTCCACATCTTGGAAGATCACGGGGGCGCGCGCTTCGTCGATCGAGTCAATCGCCCACAAAACCTAACACCAATGGTGGAACCCTAGCGGGGAATATTCGAACCTGGAAGAGCGCCATAGAGCAAGACGTACGAGGAGCCTGTTCTAGCGTCGAGATCCAAGACCTTCTTGGCCGCGCGCGCCGCCAGCACCGATTCGCCGTGGATCCGACACGCCCCCAGCAGCGTCTTCCACTGAATCCCCTCGCGATGGATCATCGGCATGCCGCGGACGAGATCCTCCGCCCTGGAGAGCTGCCCGGCGCGCGCGAGGAGATCCACCACGCACGCGTAGTGATTCTCGCGCGGCGCCATGGCGTAGTCGTCGATCATCGCCAGGAAGAAGAGGATTCCGTCCTCGAGCAATCCGCCGTGGCTGCAAGCGCTGAGGATGCTCACGAACGTCTTCTCCCCTGGGATGAAACCCTCGAGTGCCATCGCCCGGAAGAAACCCTTGGCGCCATCGCTGTGGCCGATCTTGGCCAGCGCCGCGACGAGCTCCGTCCAGGACACGATCGTGCGCTCCGGCATCGCCGCAAAGATCGCCGCCGCGACATCAAGGTCCCCGCAGCAGCAGTACATTTCGATCACGGCATTCGCGACGATCGAATCAGAGAGAAGCCCTCGCCTCGCGACCTCCCCGTGGAGAACCTTGCCCTGGGGACGATCCGTGACACTCGCGCACGCATCCAGCAAGCTCGTGAATGTGATCTCGTCCGCCACGAGATCCATCGCGCAATAGAGCCGCAGCGCTTCATAGCCCTGATCGCTCGCGACGTATGCCTTGATCATCAAATTCCAGGTCGCGACGCTCCTCTCTTTCATCCTATCGAAGATTTTTCTCGCTTCTAGCAGATGCCCATTCAAGGCATATGCTCCTACCATGATATTCCACGAGACTAGATTCCATTCCGGAATCCTGTCAAAGAGGCTTCTTGCCCAGTCGACCATTCCGCCAGAAGAGTAGGCCGATAGCATCAGATTCCACGACGTGATGTTATACTCGGGCATCCGATCAAACAGGCATTCCGCCCCGGAATGGTCACCTTCCTGGACATACGCCGTGAGCATGCAATTCCAAGATACCATGTTCCTCTCCAGCATTGAATCAAATATTCTCTTAGATTCCTCTATTTCCCCATTCTGGAAGTACGCCGTGACCAAAGAGTTCCAGGAGACTACGTTCGGCTCGGGCATTCTATCAAAGAATTTCTTTGCGCTTTCAAGATGCCCGAGGAGGGCATATGCCGAGATCATCGTATTCCACGACACGGAATCTCTCTCCGGCATCCCCTCGAAAAGATTCCTGGCATCGTCGAGATTCCCACTGCCGGCAAATGCCGCAATGAGGATATTCCAGGTGAAAACATTGCGGTGTGGCATCTTCTGGAACAGAAGGTGTGCTTCGTCAACGCTGCCACATCGGCCGTACATCTGGATGAGGAGATTGCAGAGGAACACATCCTGGCCGTCCTTTGCGATCTGTGAGTGCAGCTGCCGGCCAAGAGAGAGGCATCGAGGGCCATTGCACTGCCCCAGAAGAAACGCATATGCCTGTTTCGTTGGATCTGATGCTCTGTTTTTGATATGTTTTTCTGTCATTCACATTTTTATCATTTGAAACAAAAACTTTTTTATACGAAATTATGTCTTGCGAGGATCACGACTTAATCCTAGTTCTTTCAAGGACTTGAGGTACTGCTTCATGAGCGAGATTTTACTGTGGGTGAGGTGATCAAGGTAGTCCCATGTGTAGATTCCAGTGTTATGGAGATCATCAAATGTGATCCTACCATGTAAGAATTCTTTAGATCGCCCAACAAAGAATTAACTGAGATACCTGATAGCATAGTTTCCAATGGGGTCAATTGACATGATGCCAACATGCCTCCTTCCAGAAACTATCTAGAGTTTCAAGGGAAAACGATGATTTTTCAAGAGAAAGAGGAACTATATAAGAGAGAAAAAAGCGAACCTTGGATCTTCTCTTGCTATCAGCAGCTGGACTGTAGACTCGCAAGTACTCGGCAGACATTTGAAATTTCTGCCCATCGTCAAATTCGATCTCTGCCTGGCAAGAGTTGTTTAAGGAAACCACTCAAAGAAAGTTTCTTGCCTGGTGCGGATTTGGGACACGAACATTGATGACGGATCTCCCTCTCTTTCCCGAGAGAGCGAGCTGCCTCAACCACGCGCTAGCAAACACCATAACTAAAGCGTTGCCCTAACCTTGAGCCTAAATGTATTTATAACAAATTAGTTAAAGGCAGACTAACTCTCAGTTCGTTAGAAGTTGCAATGAGATGAGAATTTGTGGAACACTGCACATGGCCAGAGTAAAAGATTTCTAAAGAAGTTGGAAAGCTAAGTTTGGAATGAGCTCCATTAGTTGACTCTACCCCCTTTGAGGCTATGCTGCTCCAGGACCAGTCCATAACTACAATTCCATCCAATTCTAAACACGCGTCATACACAAATTGCATGGATGACGATGAATTGGTATAGTGTAGGTACTTGGTTTATGAATATTTACCTCTTATTTATTTATCATATCTTTCTTATTAAACTATAACAAAGTTGAGAATGGGAACAGTGGGCACACCATATGCTTTTTGGATTTTAGTTAGTGTTTACTATCCACGTGTGCCTAAATGAGGAACATGGGACCTAACCTACGATACTCCCTTAATCCCACCATGTCCTTCCATCTCATGTAGCCACCACTGTAATTGGCTGCCTGTGCTCAAAAGAGTAGCCTTGTCCCATTCATGCCATGTCTTCTCCTTAGCATATACAAGTTGGTGTTTTGAAAACACAATGGAATTACTATCAACGTGAATTTTGTAGAGTGCGAAACTCTATTGCTAGAGTTTGGCACTCTACAAAATTCACATTGATAGTAATATTGCTAGAGTTTGGCACTGACCACAATTCATAACAAGCCTACAAGCCTGCCTATTTGGTTTTCGGATTTTATATATTTTTAATCTCATTAATGATCTAGATCTTAATGATATATATTTAATGTTAAATTTCACTCCAATGGTTATTTTTTAAGATATTTTATTCTAAAAGATCTAAGCCTTTATTTTGAGTACAAAAATAGGTTTATTAATTGGAAGAAATTAATAAAAATTGCAGTTGCCTTGGTATCTATAGAAATGGATGGATCAGGCTCAATTTTTAATATGTTAAACTATTATAATTAAAGTATTTACTTTATATGTTTGTATATATGTGTTTGTATGTATGTATGACATGTATATCTGTCTGTCTGTCTATATGTGTGTGTATTTTTTGCTGAGCTATTGTTGACTACCAATTGAAATTAGAAACTCCAATAGACCATTAATGTAGTTGATCCAAAGTTATATATAAGCTGAAGATTTCACTACCAATCAAAATTTAGAACTCCCATAAAACCATTAATATAGTTGTTGATAACCAAAACAGAACCCAAAGTCATATATAAATTTCATTTGGATTTCTTAGGAGGTCATCCCTTAATTTTTCCCAAGTTGTTCCATTTAATTGCTTATAATTATTTAATACTGAATGTTTATAATTGTTTGAGTGTTTGCTCTTAAATTTGAACTTCCTAGAAAGTTACCCACCAATACTCATTTGCCCCTTAGAACAATTTTGCCACATTATAAGAATGTCAACACATCCTTTAATTACACATCTAACTCTTTGGGTTATTTTAGCATTTCTTAGAGGTAGCCCTAACGACCATTTCAAGAAACTTTATCCTCATCGTTATTTGACTTTCCACAATCATCAACTTTAATCTTAAATTCATAAATACCATGCTTAACCATATAAAGATAATCTTTCAACTTGTTTATTATCTAGGAGTCTCTATCCTTCCTGTGATCCTAACTATAATTGTTTATCATAATTATATTAACTAATTTGCTAAGTCAAACACTTGAGGAAAACCTTCTATTATTCCTAAAATTTTAAACCCATTCTTTTATTGGCCCTTTTCTATCTACCACATTGCTTACAAGTTCATATATAAACTAAAGTGGAAATGATTACTTTGGGCTTTCACCCCATGACTTATATTAGTATTTGGATTCAGTTTCAAACTCGATCTCAAACTCGGTCTTAGTTTCAGTGTTAATCTCAACACCTTTATGTGTCATGACACTTGCCATATATTGGTTCTTTTTGTGTCCCTTTCTAGAGACTCACTTATCAACCACTTCATGTTCATTCTTTGAGCATTTCTGCCACGAAAGCAATTGTGGGTATCAAGAGTTATTTGTCATCTTTACTACTATAACAGCTAGAGGTTGATATTACTAGTTCATTTTTCAGTCTCTGCCTAAAATAGTTGAGAAACTGATCATCATATATATACTTATGCTGAATAAATATAAAGTAGGAACTCCTATGTGTTTCTTGTTGAGCATACTCAACTTGGTAGAAGAAACTCATATGTTAATTTGCATTTGCTAGTGTTGGGAGCCCCGTGATATTGAGCTTAGTTTTCAATATTTGCTAGATGATAGCTTACCATGTCTGCCAAACACCATCGTAGGCATAGTGTAGCTCTTGCTTACATGCCTATCTTTGTTCTGCATTCAGCTTAGGTTTAAGCCCAAGTTCCACACCATGTTAGCTAGTGAAGTACCCATATTCTCGCATTAAGCCACTAGTATGTTGAAATAGTGTTAAACTCCATTTGGCTCCATTTTGTGTGTTAGTCTTGACATTAGGATGCTAAATGCTCTAGGATTGTTCCAAGTCACTCCATGCTCCTATCCTTTCTGTCATGAATACCCCAATTCTTGCCACATTCTTGACTCTCACCAGATTCCTGACTTGCAGATGACATTCCTGACTCTCGAGACACTTCCCTATTCCTGACTCTTTGCTTTCCCGTACGATTCCTGAGTCTTGAGCCATATTCCTGATGATGATGTGGCACTTCCTCGACCTCAACTATATTTAGGCCGTCCTCGATCCAAGAGTGGTGGAGCTTCATCAACCTATAGTATATATAGGTTAGCTTTGTTCCATTTCTCCACAATCTGAATCAATGCCAATCTAAAGCTTTTTCTTCGTTTCCACTAGCTTTTCTCTTTGTTTTCTGCATTTTCCAGTCTTGATCTTGTTAGGGGTCTTGACACTTTCGCTCCTTGGGCTATACTCTTTGAAGTTGCTTTGTGCTCTAGTACCTTTGCTCCTTGGCTCCATACTTAGAAGTTTGGCTCTATTCCTTCATTCAATAGCCCAAAGCCTTGAATTTTGGGTTCCACTCCACTATTCTTAGACATATGGCATGTGGCACATGGAGGGTTTAGGTTCTGTTTTATGGCTATCTTATGATAAATCACTATAGAATAAAGGGTGAAAACCACATGTGCTACATTTGGTATTAAAAGATATCTCTTAGTGAGTACTATCCAATGAGATTGGGCAACTAGTTTTGTTGCATACGCAGAGATGAAAACAATGATTTGAGTGGGTACATATTTGTTTGCTAAGACTTCACATTCGTTATTTGGGTATGGATTTTTGTTATATTTTTTTTGTACCATATTACATGAGCTTGCTCTTGGGCTCATAAGATGGACTAAGATGTTATGTTTGCATGAGTTTGTGCTTGGGCTCATAGGTGAGGCACACTAGCAACTCAAGTTTACACTTTGAGTTAGCAAAATTAATATTAGCCTATCAGTGGTTCCATGAGTTGTTTCATGTATCATGGGTGAAAATAATCCTCCCCTGGGTTTGCTATAAGTGGTGAATAGACTAGTCTATAGCTGTTTAGCATAGCACTAGTGGATCCTTCATACGCATAATAATAAGTGGATCAATCATGATTGTAAAGATTAGTCTATTGGTTTAAGTAGTTATTGCCATACTCTCTCATAAACTTTTCTTGGATTGGACTGAAGTTAGTACTAATGCAAGCTTAAGGTTTGGTCAAAGATGAAACTGAAAAGAGAGTTTTTAGGAACAAAGGATCAAACACATAAATCATTTTTTCTTCTTGGAGAAATGATTTGCAATAAGATGTTAACTCATTGCTCATGTTCACATTATGTAATTAAGAGTCCCTATCTTGACGTATGTTAGTTATGGTGGTCTTATAAGTGGTAAGTTATAGGATGGATAGTGGTGGATGCTAAACTATTTTGCTTAGGCTTGTTATTGAACACTTGGGTTACAATGTTTAATTCTTTCTAAAGAACTTTATTATTATTCCTTGAATAGCTTGGTGTTGGATTAATTTTGAGTTTGGTCAAAAAAAGAGTGGCATGAATTTGTCTATATTGTGAACAAAAGTTAGTAATGTTGGGTGTTATAAATTTTTATTAGTAGATTGTGGCATTTATGTTGCATTTTGTCGAATTGAGTTGACACTTGATACTCATATAAAGCTTTGTAGTATTGACATAGGTGTTACATATGGTATTGCTTGATTGATGATCAAGTCATTATAATTTTTATATCATATCTATTTGATTGAAAGCAATATATTTATGAAGTTTCTTAGTCAGACGATGATGAAAAGGGATAGAAAGAATCTAAGGGCATAGCTAAGGGTGGTTATGCAAGTTAGAAGTGGAAATGAGTGCTAACCCTGCTATAGAGAGTCTAAAGTATGGAATTGTCCATATTAGACTATATAGCAATTAGAAAGTTTGCAAAAGGAGAGGCTTTAGGAAGATAAGGGATAAAGTCCCTTCAATTTTCTCGAAGAATTTTTTAGGTAAGTTAGTACATAGAAAAACAAGTATAAATGATTTATAGGAATGTGCAACATCAAAGTGGTGCATTAGAAGCTTGACCTTGAAGCTTACCATGAGGCAAGACTATCAAAGTTGAGAAAGTAGTTCCCAAAGTGTTAAAAAAAATGGCTTTGAATGAAAATCAATATTTGAGGACTTTCACGCTCATACATAGAACCATGTTACACTAGTCATATGACTTACTAAGTGAGAATGGTAAATCAGAGGAATAAAGACCCTAGTTGAAGGTGTTGACTTCAAGAGGGCTTGCCTATGGGGACAAGCATGAAGGAATCCA